TCTTCACCAAAAGGGTTGTCAAGCATTGGACCAGGCTGCCCAGGGCAGGGGTTGAGTCCCCATCCCTGGAGGTATTTAAAAGCCAGGCAGACGTGGTGCTTGGGGCGATGGGTTAGTGCTGGGCTTGGCAGTGCTGGGTTAACGGTTGGACTTGATGATCTTAAAGGTCTTTTCCAACCTAAATGAGTCTATGATTCTATGATACCTGTGCAGATAAAGGTGTCAAGGTATCCTGTCAAGCAGCACACGGGTGTTTTATTCCATGTAAGGAGTTGTTTAACCTTCATTTGGATGGTTTGGAGGTTTTTTTTCCTCTGGATTACCTGTGAGTAGCAGTGGTGCAGGGTGGCCGTTGCAGACGGGTCATTTCTGTGCTCTCTTAGGGCTGGAAAAGACACAAAGGGAATTTTCCACAACTTTTCATGCTGGAAATCGGCAGAAACCGGGCACTGGGAAACTGCTTACAAGAGGGGCACCAGAATTAGGTGATGTGAGGATGAGCTGAAACAGCTCCCTGGTCCATTGGCGCAAGGGGACAGCAGTCCCCGGAGGCGAGGGCAGCGATCGGGCGGGCACCAAGCCCCCATCCTTGTCTTGGCGTCACCTTGGCGGGTGCTGGAGATGGAGGGGGTTGGCAGGGAGGGACCGGCCACCCCTGGGACAAGGGGAACAGGGTGCCCGGGTCCCCCCTGCCACCTCCCTCCAGGTCTGGAGCGCCTGGTTTGAGGCAGGCGACCCAAAAGAGCATCTCTGGGGTTGACATGGGGGCAGGTACCAAGAGCCCCCCAGATTATCTTCCCACTCTGCCCCTTATCACTTGAGGAAATCCTATTTCAAGGCCGCTATAAAGAAGCCTCTGATCTTTGCAGAGGCCGGCTCACTCCCCTTTAATCCCGGCCGGGCCAGGGTGCAGGTGCCACGGTCCCGGGGGATTAGACGGTCCCTTCCCTTTGTGCGAGCCGTCACTCACCGGCAACCGTGGGCCCCCCCCCCCCCCGCCCCCCGCCCCCGGGGGAGCCGCACCGACCGGCGGGGCTCCTTGTTTGGGCCATTCACCGGGGAATATTAAACTTTGCTGCCGTGGAGTCATTACACGGGGAGGCAGGGGCCGCCGCTCTGTTTGTTTTGGAGAGAATAGGGCTGGCAAAGGGCAGGAGCCACGGGAGGGCTCGTCTCTCCCCGCTGCCTCCTCGGCCCCGCGGCCTGGGTCACCTGCCTGCGGGGCAGCCCAGCTCCCGGTACCCATCCCTGTCCTCCGCCTCAGCCGAGCACGGCCTCGCTCCTCCAGCGTGTCTGGGCTCGTCCCTGGCCCCGGGGATGCTGCCAGCCACGGTCCGGGGAGGCTGGGCTGGACCCCTCGGACCCTGGTCTTGCCCAGCCTTAGCCGCCATCTCCCAATGCCGGCTCCTGTAATCCCCCCATTGCAGCCAGCACATGGGTACGGCAACCACTGGAGCGGCACGGCCAGCGTGGCCCTGGCCCCGGCCCTTGTGGGGAGCAGAGAGAGGGCAGGGGGGAGTGATGGGGCTCACACACGCCCTCTCCCCATGGGCAGCTCGCCCTGCCCTGCCCTGGGCGCTGGCCCTCTCCGGGCTGGTGTCTCGGTGCAGTCACCAGCGTGGGTCCCAGTCTGGCAGCTGGAGCTGCTGCTGCAGGAGAGATGGTGATGGGATGCAGGAGAGACAGCAGTGGGATGCGGGAGAGACGGCAGTGGGGTGCGGGAGAGATGGCGGTGGGATGCAGCAGAGATGGTGGTGGGATGCGACTGTCCCAGCCCCAGGTCACTGCCAGAGGGGTGGAAAAGGTGCAGAGATTTTCCTGCTTCTCCAGTCCAAATCCCCCCTCGCTCCCTCCTGCTCCGTGCTGTCAGGGAGGAGCCTCTAACAGGGGGGAGCACCTTTGGCATCCACCCTGGGTGCAGAGACCACCGAGATGAGGGCAAGCAAGCAGGGGCTGTGCCTGGCCCCACAGCCTGGCCCTGGCCTTGCCAGGACTCCCAAGGAGCACCTGGCCGCTTCAAGGAGGTTGAACCCCCCGGTGCCTCATTCACCCCCAGCCAACACCTTTGGTCATGGGCAGAAAAGCCATCATGAGGCTATTTTACACTTTGTGTTTCCCAGCAGCTCAGCGAGGGCCTTGCGGTGCTGGGGCTGCCTCGGCGGGTGCTGGCATACAGCTGCCCCGTGCCACCGGCCCCGCTCGCCGAGCCGCAGCGCCGCAGAGGCAGCCGAGGAGTTACCGCCGTGATTTGCCACAGTCACGTTTCATTTCGAGGCTGCCTGAGCCCCACGGAGGAGTCGGACGCAGCCGGGAAGGCGCGGATGGTGGGGTTTTTTCCTCCCATTTGCTTTTGTGCACTCTGCCCCCCTTGCCAAAATAATCCTGGAAATACTACTTAAAAATAAGAAAGGGAAGAAAAAATGCAAGAAAGCGAACAAGAGCGGAGGGGAGAGCACTCAGCATCTCTGCTCGGCTCCGTGGCCTCCCGCAGAGTGAAATGGAGGCGAATAATGCCCTAAAGCTCCTTCTCCGAGCAGTGCAATCAGCTCGCCTGGTTCGGAGGGCTGCAGCGCTCTGCGCCGGGGTGTTTGCCAGGAGGGTCATGGCTTCACTGCACCAACCCCCCCCCCCCCCAGATGGGCACCCGCCGAGGGGCTGGCACCGCTGCGGGGCACCCCGAACCCTCCCCGCTGCTCCTCACCCCGCTGCCGGAGGAGAGCAGGGACAGCCAGGCAGCATGAGGTTTGGAGGGGGGCAAGGGTCCATTCGGCTCCATCCCATGGATGTGGCACCTTGGGGATGACCACTCTCCTCCTTTTCACCCCTGGGGAGGTGGCAGCGCATCCACCCGTGTGTGCCCTGTGTTGGCACGGGTAGGAGGGATGCTGGGGGCTGCCCCAGAGCAAGGGGTGCACCCATGGGGACCCCCTCTCGGTGCCCCGAGCCAGCTGTGGCCCCATCGGCACGTGATGAAGCACCCCAAGCGATGGGGCAGGGGTGCTGCGTGGGCCCCAGAGGGCTGGGTGGCGGCATGGGGGGGGCATGGGGACCAGCGAGGGACCCCGTGCTGGGGTGGGGGGCAGCCAGCCCGCCGGACCCCCCAGCCCAGGCTCACCCCGGGCATCGCCTCGTCGCCCCATCCCTCCTGCTCCGGGGTGGACGGCGGCGGCGGCGGGAGCGTTCCCGGGCGCAGGTAACATTTGGGTGCATTCCCATAACCGAGTGCTGCCAACTGCTGCGGCGGCAGGGCCGGAGCCCCCTCTCCAGCGCCGCTGTTTGCTTTACAGCCTCCTTAGCCCCTATTGAGGCTTTTCAGCTCCGGCCCCTTCAGGGGGTTTAAGTAGGTAAAACCTGAGGAAGAGGCTATTTTCCTCCCTCCCTTTTGAGCCCTGCCTTGTGCCCAAAAGGCCCCCTTGTTTCACGCGTGCCAGTCACCTGGCTGGGCCCCCAGCCCCTTTCTCTCCCAGCCTCCCCTTTCTTTCTCCTTTCTCTCTTTTGACTTTTCCAGGAGCCCTCGCTCTCCAAACGAGCTTCAGATTGGATCCAGATTGAGGTCCCTTTGTCTTTCAAGGGTTGTACTAAGCTAATTAAATGTGATCCCAACAAATAAACGCAGATCTCCCCATTACATTCAGGCCTGCCTTTCAGGCAGCACCGGGCGGCCCCTCACCCCCGCCCGCTGCGCACAGGGTCCCCCTCATTGAGTCCCGGCCATTGAAAGCACTGCCAGGATTTCTTTTGTGCCGGGGGTCTCCGAGCCCTTTTTCCATCAGAAAAGACCCCCAAACAGCAGCTCGGCCTTTGTGAGTTTGCAAGCAAACGCCAAAGAAAAGCCCCCTGAATGCTTTAATAAATGACACATTTAGCAACTTCGGAGGCGCCTGGCTCCTGCGGCAGCCGCAGGGGTGCCATGATCCCTCCTGCCCCCCCTTCCCTCCGGCTCCCGGGGCATTTGCAGCCCGTGGAGGTGCGGGGGATGCGGCCAAAGCAGCTGACCGCCTCGGCTCCCCGCCCGGCTCCCGCCCCCCGCCCCCTTTCCC